GAGCGAATACGTAATTAGCAAAAAAAAGTTGAAATAAAGTGATTAAACAAACATTATTACGAATATCGTAAATAACAGTTCACAAATGCATATATAGAAATATTTTTTGAAGGGGGAAATGGTCTTCACAATTTGAAATCGATCGAACACACTGCTCGAATGCTAGTGTAAACGCACGCCATCTATCGTAGGATAAATGTACTATGCCAAAAACCTTCGCTGGAGTGTATTAAAAAACTTTCCGAAGTTTTATGGCAATCGTACTATGCCACAAACCTTCGCGGGAGTATATTAAACAACTTCCCAAAGTTTCATGGCAATCGGATAAACGGTGTGGTAATGCATGAAGGACATAAGACAGACACACAGACAGACATACATTCATTTTTATATATATAGATTTGACTTTATTTTGAAAGTCGTCATAAATTTACCTCTAAAATTCATAATAAAATAATGAATTTAATCTTTTCTCATCACTTTTATACATAGTTTAAAACAAATGACACACATTGTTTGGGCACAGCCATGCTGATAGCAGAATATTCAATTTTACTATTTTACAGATTTAGATATGGTTAATATATTGTGTGTGGTTTAATTATACACTGACTATAACATCATAGGATGACTGTTTTTTCTGAATACAACATGTTTCCTAAACAATGTTAACAATATAATGTATACAGCTAGAATAATTGGCATTTGTGGTTGCTTCCTTTTTGCATAACTCTCTCAAAAAAGTTTGATTAAAAAAAATTCCATATGAAAAATTTTTTTAGATTATCTGTGATTAAAGGATACTTTTTTTTTTAGAGTGGATTATAATACATCAGTAGCAAAAGAATTGCTAAGGTTACTGAAAATTCCTGTACAGAATTATAACAATTTATTGACTGTATTAAAATTAGAACATTTTGGAGAACTATTGGATTTCTGTGATTACCATAGTCGCAAAACAATGTCTACATTTTTAGTCAATAATGCTTTAGAAAATGAAACACTGATACCAATGCAAGAACAGGTTAGATATTTATAATTGTTGTTGCTATAAGTTTATTTCCAGTGTATTTTAATTTTGAAATTTGTAATAATGAATACATCTTTATAGGTAGATCAAGTTCTGCTATTATTAGCTCCATTAATACAGGATCAGCCTGATCAACCTCCCGATGACAATGATCCAGATGATTTTGCTGAAGAACAAGGTTTAATGGGTCGTTTTATCCATTTAATGCAAGCAGAAACAGCTGATCAGCAGTATCTGGTAAGATGATGATGATACAAGATTTATCTTTTATTTTCAGTCATTGCTACTGCATCAGAGGATTATTATTATTATACATTAATTATAAAAACCATAATTAAAGCAGTTATATAAATTAAGATGAAAAATACTGTTTTCTCAATTGTAACTCATTTGTTTAGATGAAAGTGCCTCAATATTTTAAGATAACAACAGACCAAGAAAAACTAATCTGGACAATATGACTTTGTTTTTCCAGTAACACATTTTTGGGTGTTACCTTGATCAATGGACTACTCTTTTTCTCTCTCCTCACAAAATACTGTTTTTGGGATTGCAGATTGAGATATTTGTAGGACTCTAGGCTTCTACATATGAACAACTTACTACTTTTTGGGCCACTTTTAAAATAATTTGGGCTACATTTCGAGGAATTCTGATTTATTTTTTATAAAACCTGTCTGGCAACCTGTGAGTTTCTCACCAGGTGTGCTGTTTATCTGTAGTTTATTTAAACTATTATTATTATTATTTATTTATTAATGAAAATAGCATTCTGTATACATAGACGTATTCCATTTGCTTAATAAATTACATCAGTTATATGGCATTTGGCATATTGCACAGAAATATGTAAATCTTGAATAATTCAAAATCGTGGTTATTTTATCCCTTGAATTTCAAACTAATGAAGATTTCTTGTATTCTTTTCAGATTTTAAATACTGCAAGAAAGCATTTTGGTAATGGAGGAAACCAAAGAATAAAGTATACATTACCACCTTTGGTATTCCAAGAATATAAACTTGCATTTCGATATAAAGAAATTAATGAAGAGGTAATTTTAATTTATTAATGCATTTTATATAATTATTTAAAATGAACAAATGTTAGTGAAATTTGACTATTTATAATTGTAAATATCTCTAATCATTTTGAATTCCAAGTTTATAAAAATATATAAACTTATTATAAACTTGAAATTGCTTTTGCTTATTGTGATATTTTATAGTTTTTAAGAATTCATACAGATTTTGCAGTTTTAATAAACATTGTTTACAAAATTTGCATAAATACCTTGCAAAATAGAAGGTATTTAACCATACAAAAAGAAATTTTTAATCAAATCTGTTGAATAACTAATGTTTGTGAAGTTAGTTATTTATTATGAAAACTCAGTGTTATAGATTATATAAAATTATCTGAATTTATCACTAATCCTATAAAATTAGTCATATTTAGGTGTCTCTCTGGAAAATTTAAAAATATTGCCAACCATTTCACCAGTTTTAAACTATTTTTGCCATTTCAAATTATTTATCATCTCCAGTTTTACTTACTAATTAATGTAGGTGCTGGTAGCTTTATCAGTTTGGTAGCATGTAGCTTTTGCTTTCAAGACATTGAAAGCAAAAGTAACATGTTAAGCTGTCTTTTAGAAATAGGAATCATTTTTGAATAATTTTTAAATGAATAATTCTGAATGACATTTGATCACGATGTTGAAACAGTATTTCACATGTTCTGTCATGTCAAAATTTTTGTTTTAGTCTACTGAAGAATGATTAAAGTGAAAAATGTTATCCCAAAAAATTCCCAAATTTCCTCTGAATTGATAAAAAAAAATCTCCAATGTGGAAATGCTGGGCAGCAGTGCATAAAAACTACCTTCAGTTCTCAATGTCACTTCTACGAGGCGTGTCTGGAAAGTAAGTACCGTTTCGTTCTACCATTGCAGTGGTAGTATCACAGTTCAGCACCTGCGCACATGTCTCTCTGGTTGATTGTTAGTCCAGTGATGCCATTACAGCTGGATTGTGTTGTTTTTCCACATGTTAGTGAGCATTCAAAATGTTTTAAGACTATTGCCAATCCCGTCAACTGTGAAGTGCATTCTGTAATATGGTTTTTGAATGCAAAGAATGTTAAGCCAGTTGAAATTTATTGTCAACTTGTAGAGATTTATGGTGAAAATGTAATGAGTGATGGAATGGTTAGAAAGTGGGTTCGACAATTCAATGCTGAACGCACTGATGTTCATGATGAAGCATGGAGTGGCTGGCCTTCTGTTGTCAATAATGGTTTGGTTGCGAAAGTGAATGAAAAAATTCCTGAAAACAGATGATTCACAATAAGAGTTCCACAAATTTCAAATACTGTTTTGCATGAGATTGTTGCAACAACCGATGTTCAGCAGTGGCTGTCTTCACTGGCGGCATCTTTCTTGTTAGGTGTATTAAGTTCACGGGCACTTGGCAATTGCGACACGGAACTTTCCAAATTGGTGATACAACACCACCACGTAGCGCTTTGGAATCGAGTGGAAATACTCAAACGCTGTGATGAAGGGAACTTGATATACATTTGGGAGGCCCTCCTCACAAAACTGCTCTCCCCGTGCAACACCCCTACCCTCGATTTACCGGACGTCTGGATTAATTTATTCAGGCGGTTAAAAAACCAACAATAATTTTGCATTCTCTTCCCGCACCTCCTACATGATTCAAAGCACATACATGTCGGCCCCTTTATGTGCGTCTTTTTACGTGTGTTATGTATTTTAAATTATGTCCCGCGCTTTAATATTTAAAATTTAAATTTTAACATAAACTTGCACTTGTGGATCTATTCCGATCGGTTTCTATGCTGTCTATGTTAAGGCGCATGCGTGCCAAAAATTTTATACGTATTTACAAAGTGTTTTAATTTAAATTCTAAAAATTTAATTGTTCTTAATAGACATCTAATTGGCTCTCATGTTATGCATGTTAAGGTGCACGTGCGCCAATTTTTCGCGTTCACAAAATAATTAATAGCCACTCCAATCGATGTTTATTTGTTTTAAAACGCATGCGCACCAATTTTAAATGTTTAATTCTAAAAATTTAAATTTAAAATCTTTTTTGTATGTTCAAAAACGGCTAGTATCGTTAATGTTTTAAATTTAAATGTATGGTTCGAATTCTTTATTCGAATTTAATTTTACCTGAAGACGACGTGCTTATTTACGTCAAAAGCGCTCGTAAATTAAAATAATTTCAAGTATATTTAACGCCTCATAGACTGACGTTCTTGGAAGAAGAAGTTTTGATTGGCATCTTTCTTTGAAGAGGGTATAGACAAATTGGTTTCCCAATATGACAAATGTCTGAACAATGGTGGTATCTATGTAGAAAAATAGTTTCAGACATGCTCTTTCATGTAAATTTAAAAAATTTAAATATTGTAAATATTTAAAAATAAATTTTGTTTTGAAAAAATATTTTTTTATGCGAGTTTTTCCAAAACCGTACTTACTTTCCGGACATGCCTCGTACTTTTCTGCCCAAACTTGTTGCATGACATCATGAAATAGCTAGGTGTGTCGTGCACGGGACTTCCATCGGGAAGCTAGACATTCTGTTGTTTTTCCTGGAATGTGCTTTGTGATTCAGTTTCATGCTGAATGTTGAAATAAGCAGATTAGGATTTTTATCACCACTTGCTATCATCAGTATTATATTATTTTCACCACTTTAATAAAAATATCACCAAGTGGGAATTTTGGTGCTATGCATTGTAATCCCTGCATATTGACATGTTATCAGAAGAAAAATCTATTTGTATATTATGAATACATGTTTATTTCATAAAATATTAAAATGAAATGGCTTAACAAAAAACCAAATTTTAAATTAAATTAATAAATATTAAATAGTAGATAATATCCATGTAAAGTGTAGATGGATATTACATGTACTTTCACTAATGTATATGCATATTGTGTTATCAGATGCTTTGTTTTTGATTATGGTTACAGCTGATATTTGAATTAACAATTCAATACAGATAAATTGAAATAAATTATTCTGAGTTCATTAATCATTGCATTTTAAAAGATTAAGAACTTTATAGTAATTGTTTTTCATTATTAACAAAAGACTAAAGCAGTGGTCACCTTGCAATTTCCAGCCAGACTGGCAACTGTAACCATGACAGATATTCTCGTTAACTGGTAAACCCCCTTTAAAAACTGGCATGACTGCAACCACAACTAAAAACAAAAAGTTTGTTCTACTTGCATCAATTGCAAATGCGCATCCAATCAGCAAATGTCTTTGTGCCATGTCATATGATGGAAACATTGAAAATCTTTCATCATCATGGCAGAAAGTAAGAGGATTGATACTTTTACAGAATTGAGATTGATTGAGCTTATTCAGGCTAATGAATGCCTGTGGGATTTTAATTCTTCATTTTATCGAAGATTTTATTTTTTCGTGTATTCTCACCAGCTCTAACAAAATGATTGCCTTTTTTTCTTTTATTCATTTCAGAAAAGGAACTGCTGGCCATTTTAATAAGAAAAGTGGCTAAAATTCTGTAAATACTCTGAAGTAGAATGTAAACTGTCGGTAAACTCACAAAAATAGTCAAAAACAAACTACTGTAATTTTATTGGTTTATTATGATGTCACATGTTTTCGAGTTGCAACACCAATGAACAATGTGACCATGACAAGATGCATGCAACTCACGCTCGCACAACTTGTTGCGGTTACAGTCACCTGTGCAGCTGGAAATTGCTGGGTGTGACCACTGCTTAATGAAAGTTCATGTCATTTGACAAATATTTTAAGTATTATTGTAAAGGAAATATTTAAAGTGATTTCTTTCTTTTCCACTTGAATAAAGACTAAACTTAAGTTGAGGTGATGTCATTTTTCAAGTCTGATCGATTATTCAAATATTAATGCTTGTTATTCTGCATTAGTCAACTATGCACACAATGACATTTCATTTGCATAGTTATCATATTTTTGTGCATGTAATTAATCATGAAGAATAAGCCAAAAGTTTCCTGTCTAAATAGATTAATACAAAAAAAAAGTTAAAGAAATAGTAAAATTATTCAATATTATCCAGTTTTGAAGAATATCCAAAAATAATGGTTTATTATGTTTTCATCTCACCAAAAGACTCAACAGTATTAAAAACACATTCAATATTTTAATGACCATTGAAATATTCAATGAAGTTTATCATCAGTATTAAGTTATTAAAGATGTAAAATTCAGTGTAGTTGATTGAAAGATGAGTGAGATTAATTATTTAGTGAGATTTGTGACAAAGGATAAGATTTATTGATGCATTATATAGTTGCTATGGATACTTATAAGAGAGAATAATTTCTTGTATTTTTTTTAATGTTAATTGTAATTACTATTTGAGTATTACATATAATTGGTATTATTGAAATTAACATAATACAATAAATTTTACTCACATAATCTAAGTTTTTTTTTGTGTTTGTGGGTAAGATAGTTGTGATTTTCAAAAATCAAAATCTTTTTAGAGTGAAATTAGAGAGAAATGTATTTTTTATTATTTTAGGATGATAAATGGGAGAAAAAATGTCAGAAAATTTTCCAGTTTTGTCATCAGACTATTACTGCATTGATTAAAGCTGAGATGGCAGAACTTCCTCTTCGGCTTTTCCTTCAGGGAGCATTAGCTGCTGGGCAGATTGGATTTGAGAATCATGAAACAATCGCTTATGAATTTGTATCTCAGGTATATACCACAATATTTAGGCATATCAAAAATAAACTTAGTTCAATGTTTTTATCAAAAATACCATTACTAATTAATTTTACAGCTTTTGATAAATTCTGCAGCAAAACTTAAAATTATTTACAGAATACAAATTTATATTTTTTGTTCTTTTATACAAAATATTTTTAAATTTTTTAAATAAATGCACATGATATATAAAGATTTATTTTTTCATCAGGCATTTTCTCTATATGAAGATGAAATATCTGATAGCAAAGCACAATTGGCAGCAATTACACTTATTATTGCTACAGTAGAGCAAATGCTGTGTTTCAGTGAAGAGAATCATGAACCTCTTAGGACTCAATGTGCTTTAGCAGCTTCAAAATTATTGAAAAAACCTGATCAATGTCGAGGCGTGAGTGTTTGTTCACACCTGTTTTGGTCTGGTAAAAGTCAGGCAACTAAAGGAGAAGAGGTAAAGTTTAGTTTTTTATTTTAATAATTTAGAAAACAACACAATACTAATTATATCATTCAATATTTTTCATAGATGCATGATGGTAAGAGAGTGATGGAATGTTTAAAGAAAGGTTTGCGTATTGCAAGCCAGTGCATGGATTCCAGTGTTCAAGTGCAACTATTTGTTGAAGTTTTAAATCATTATGTGTACTTTTTTGAAAAAGGAAATGATCAGGTATTATTATTTTTTAAAAAAATGTAAAATTTACTTACAAGAAGAAAACATTAAAAATAAAAAGAGTAACAAAACAACAAATGATAAGAGTATTAGAAACTTAGAATGATCATGTCATATGATACTCAATTAATTTTTGAAATTCTTAAATTTGACTTAGAAGTATGATAAACTTATTTGGGTGGTCAGTTAATTCGTGTTATTTTTTAGATAGCCATATTCTGATAATGACCTAAATATGATAGTCAAACATTTTACTTAGATATCACTAAGATTCTGAATTATAAGTTAAACATAGTAGATATGATGATATTTCTTTTTGTTGTATTCTAGATTTTTTATTTTATATTGGTTTTGAAAATTTTATAAAAAGAAGTAAATTATTTTTTTAATCTTGAAACAGTATCAGTTTGGATTCATAGAGAAATAATTAATTCAATTTATTTACATATGTTCATAAATTACATCAAATTGTGGCCTTTGACTTCTAAGACTTTGATAAGAAAATACATAATTTTTAAATATGTACTGATATCATATATGATGATGATTAAAAGAAGTCATGAATTATGGACAAACTAATATAGACTATTGACTTTAGATGGCACTACAAGAAAACATATTTATGCATCATCCATGTACAGTCAAACTGTTATATGAGCATTAAGGGACTGGCAAGATTTACTTGTTAAAACCGTTACATCACTGCTTTTCACGAATATGAGTAAGTAGAGGAGAATGGGCATAAACTGTAGGGTGCACTCTGCAGGTGGCAAAATTTGTAGCTGCATTATGCATTACTGATAATTACTGAAATCTATTTTTAATTCTAAATAAAAAAGTTAATAAAAAAGTTATAAATATAAAATATATTTTTTAATAAATATAAATATATATNTCATACAAACCAAACATATAAGTAAATAAACACTGATTTAATTAATTTATTAATAAATATAAATATATATATATATATATAATTTTTTTTATGAACTGATATATAAATACAGTCGACCCCCCCTATAACACTGTTGATCATTCTGTTTTATATGAATTCCATGTTGTACGAGTCACTTAGATTTTACAAATACATGAGCTGTTCACAGTCCGGCACATGTATTTGTAAAATTTAAATGACTCATACAACATGGAATTCATATAAAACGGAATAATCAACAGTGTTATAGGGGAGTCGACTGTAAAGCAAACACCAATTTTAAGATTTGTAGCTAAAAAGACTAACTGAAATCAGACATATTAATTAGTATGATCTTTAATTATGAAAAAATAAATTGTTTAATATTAAAGATCATACTAATTAATATGTCCAATTTCAGTTAGTCTTTTTAGCTACAAATCTTAAAATTGGTGTTTGCTTTATTTTTTAATAATTTCAATACTGTCAAAGATGACAAATCTTCCTACACACTTTGAAGTTTTTAGCATCACACAACTCTCAAATAATTTTTAATTTTTCATATACTGAGAGAGATTTTCTTTTTGTCATAGACATCTTTCTGATAGAAGAGTTCGTTTCTAACTAGATTATACAGTAATTTCACAGTTGTACTGATTAGGTAAATTAGCAGAATAAGGCTGGAAGCTAGTCAAGAAAGAGGGGGGAGGGCAATCTCCAAAAAAAAGTTAAGTGATAAACATGTGTGTAATCCATACAGGTTGTAAAACTAATTATCCAGTGGTCATAAAACTAAGTAATCCTTTCAGTTTTATATATCCCAAAAAAAGAATTTGTTATTGCATTTCTTACTTGAACAATTAAGAATGTTCATGTGTTTGCCTAGCTACTGAAAATTTGCTCAGTGTAGAGTAATACCCCGAATTTATGCAATAGGTGGGACCGAGTGATAACCGCGTAAGTTGAATTCGCGTAAGTCGGGGTATAATCTCACAATTTGTGTAAACTCAAGTCGCATGTATGTAAGCTAATAAATGTTCTCGTTAATCTTATCTCGTGTTTTGATTCGTTCACGGTTACAAGAAATCACCACATAGTCTCTCGAGTCTCCATAGATATAACAAACACAGAAATAAATAACACAAAATAAATTGTAGCTATGTGTCGATTCTGTGCTACACATCCGAACATGTAAGCTGAACAAGTGTGTGGGGGGAGTGAGTAATCAAGACTTGCGTGGCGCTCAAACAAAAGACGAATCAACGAGATTTGAAAATCGCGTAACTCCAGGTTCGCATAAGTCGAGGTATTACTGTATCTGTGAAGTACCCTTGTTATAACTGTGAGAAAATGTATGGAAACTTAAAATTGTTATGGTGTTTTGCTCATTATAACTGTGGAACTCATTATATCCAAGTTTGTTATAACTGTGCTCAACTGTATATTAATACATACATTGTATTATGCAGGAAAAAAATGTGTCCCTCTGGATTCAACTATGTATATTCATAAAAAGGAATAATTTATCTTATAGAAAAAATTTTGTAGCTTATTCAAGGATGTAACCAGAAATTTGAGTGTTGATCTTAGCATAGGTAATTAGGCTATTGTAAAAAAGTAATAGCTTACAATCAGTGGCAGCACATTATTATGCAAGGAGCTACCAAACCAATACAGCAGTGTCTCACACATATGCAAGCTACATGCAAACCAATGATACATGTCATCACAGTACTCAATAAAAAGTGAACAACTATTAAATTTTTATTCTTTGCCATGTTGCAGCTGACTGTTCATGTAGCCTAGTGTTTGAATCTGATATGCCTGTTCATCCAGTAATCATCTGCTTGTGACATTTTTTTAACACTATATTTTTAAATGCAAGTGGGATAGCAGTAAGGGGTGGAATAGTGTTAGTGTGGGAATACTACTATATATTGCTACATTCTTGCTTATTTTAAAAACAAAGTGCATAATTTATCATCATATTATAATAAAGTAATACACATGTTTAATTGTAACAAGAATTTTTTTCATGATTTTATATTATATCTTCCTAAATAAAATCTTAGAAGTGTAAACCTTTCAATAAAAAGTGAAATTTTAACAATTATTTGAATTTCAAATTTTACTTTAAATTTTATGAATTAAATTTTACTTATCAGGTAACAGTGCAAGTCCTTAATCAACTTATTGCAAAGATACATGAACAGCTTCCTGGATTAGAATCAAATGAAGAAACAGACCAAATCAATAAGCATTTCCAAAACACACTGGAACATTTACGAAATCGTATGGATGCACCAGAAAATGATGGACCATCATATACTGGATTAGTATTATAAAAGTAAGTTTTATTTGATATTTAACAGTTATTGAATTTATGTTTGCTTTCTTTATATATGAAATTTCTTTATTTTCTCTAACATATTGTTCAATAAATTTTGTATCATTAATGATACTTATTAGCTGAAAATCAATCTTAGTTTCTATGGGTTCAAAATTGAAAAGAAAAAAAAAATATACATATGTAAATAAATTACAGTAAATAACTTAAATTCAAACATCATTTTCTACATTGGCAAAACAATGTAGAAAATGTTGATGTTTGAATTTAGGTTATTTACTGTAATTTTTCCTATACATAATAAATTGCATTTATTCCACTGTTATGCATTTTATAAGAGATCATTTTTATTATTAGTGAGAAAATATATTTTTGAAAATAACNAAAGAATTTGTTATTGCATTTCTTACTTGAACAATTAAGAATGTTCATGTGTTTGCCTAGCTACTGAAAATTTGCTCAGTGTAGAGTAATACCCCGAATTTATGCAATAGGTGGGACCGAGTGATAACCGCGTAAGTTGAATTCGCGTAAGTCGGGGTATAATCTCACAATTTGTGTAAACTCAAGTCGCATGTATGTAAGCTAATAAATGTTCTCGTTAATCTTATCTCGTGTTTTGATTCGTTCACGGTTACAAGAAATCACCACATAGAGTCTCTCGAGTCTCCATAGATATAACAAACACAGAAATAAATAACACAAAATAAATTGTAGCTATGTGTCGATTCTGTGCTACACATCCGAACATGTAAGCTGAACAAGTGTGTGGGGGGAGTGAGTAATCAAGACTTGCGTGGCGCTCAAACAAAAGACGAATCAACGAGATTTGAAAATCGCGTAACTCCAGGTTCGCATAAGTCGAGGTATTACTGTATCTGTGAAGTACCCTTGTTATAACTGTGAGAAAATGTATGGAAACTTAAAATTGTTATGTTGTTTTGCTCATTATAACTGTGGAACTCATTATATCCAAGTTTGTTATAACTGTGCTCAACTGTATATTAATACATACATTGTATTATGCAGGAAAAAAATGTGTCCCTCTGGATTCAACTATGTATATTCATAAAAAGGAATAATTTATCTTATAGAAAAAATTTTGTAGCTTATTCAAGGATGTAACCAGAAATTTGAGTGTTGATCTTAGCATAGGTAATTAGGCTATTGTAAAAAAGTAATAGCTTACAATCAGTGGCAGCACATTATTATGCAAGGAGCTACCAAACCAATACAGCAGTGTCTCACACATATGCAAGCTACATGCAAACCAATGATACATGTCATCACAGTACTCAATAAAAAGTGAACAACTATTAAATTTTTATTCTTTGCCATGTTGCAGCTGACTGTTCATGTAGCCTAGTGTTTGAATCTGATATGCCTGTTCATCCAGTAATCATCTGCTTGTGACATTTTTTTAACACTATATTTTTAAATGCAAGTGGGATAGCAGTAAGGGGTGGAATAGTGTTAGTGTGGGAATACTACTATATATTGCTACATTCTTGCTTATTTTAAAAACAAAGTGCATAATTTATCATCATATTATAATAAAGTAATACACATGTTTAATTGTAACAAGAATTTTTTTCATGATTTTATATTATATCTTCCTAAATAAAATCTTAGAAGTGTAAACCTTTCAATAAAAAGTGAAATTTTAACAATTATTTGAATTTCAAATTTTACTTTAAATTTTACGAATTAAATTTTACTTATCAGGTAACAGTGCAAGTCCTTAATCAACTTATTGCAAAGATACATGAACAGCTTCCTGGATTAGAATCAAATGAAGAAACAGACCAAATCAATAAGCATTTCCAAAACACACTGGAACATTTACGAAATCGTATGGATGCACCAGAAAATGATGGACCATCATATACTGGATTAGTATTATAAAAGTAAGTTTTATTTGATATTTAACAGTTATTGAATTTATGTTTGCTTTCTTTATATATGAAATTTCTTTATTTTCTCTAACATATTGTTCAATAAATTTTGTATCATTAATGATACTTATTAGCTGAAAATCAATCTTAGTTTCTATGGGTTCAAAATTGAAAAGAAAAAAAAAATATACATATGTAAATAAATTACAGTAAATAACTTAAATTCAAACATCATTTTCTACATTGGCAAAACAATGTAGAAAATGTTGATGTTTGAATTTAGGTTATTTACTGTAATTTTTCCTATACATAATAAATTGCATTTATTCCACTGTTATGCATTTTATAAGAGATCATTTTTATTATTAGTGAGAAAATATATTTTTGAAAATAACAAAGTTTAGATGAAAAACTTTTTACTTTAATAGTAATAGTTAATAATTTTTAGTTACTATGGTAAATATAAGAAAATAAGCTTGAAAAATTCTTAAATCTCCAGCTCTTTTGTTTTTTCCAATTTTATTGCAAGATAAAGAAAGTAATGCTAAAAATTCATCCTTTTAGTGTATAAAAATAAATTTTTTATATTTACTATTAAAAATATAATTTGAATTATCAAAAAATTCTCAAATTTATATAAATGTTATGTTCAAATAGTGTGTAATAAATTTAGCTGTAGTTTCTATTATACATTTAACCTGTGAATTTTTTATTTTTTCTAGCTTTATTTATAATTTAAGAATTCTTGTTGATTTGGAAGATTTGAAAGAGAAATTGAATGAATTAATTTTGGCAAGCTTTTTAATTGGAATTTGTTTTTTTTATACATATAATTTACACTGAAATTGTACAAAATATATTTAACATTAATAATGTATAAGAAAATAACAAAGAATAATGTTATGTATGATACTTTGTATTCTCATTGAAAAAGAATTAAGGCTTAGTTTGTACAGTAAAACTATTGTTTTTTTTTATTTAATTTAGTCTTATATCATTAAATCAAGAATATGGAATAAGTGCACTAAGATTCTTGAAGCAAATGAACAATGGTATTTTGCAGAAACAATTTTGAAAATATTTTCAGAAGATCATTTCTGAAAATAAATTGTTGGAGATTGTATAAATTTCAATATGATTATTGTAATTGGCTGATAAATAAACTGCTTGTCTATATTTAAAAATTGTTTTTAAATGGCACAAATTTTAAGACATTACCACCAAACATTATTGTGAACTTTATTTAGAAAATATCGTAAAGAATATTTCGTCTTTTTGCTCTATAAAAGGTAGAAATGTATAAACTTCCATTTGCCAATCTGAAAGGTGTATAAATTTTTATTTTATTAAAAACTTTTCAGAATATTTATCCACACTGCAAACAGTAATGTTAGTTACATGTGTGAAAAACTTATTTTCTTCATTTTTTAATTTAAAATAATGAACAAAAGGAAATAACAATGTAAACTATTGAAAACATACAATATTTCTGATTAAATGCATTAAGCCATATAATTGTAACTATAACACAATCTAGCCACAAAATTGTCTATTATGCCATTATAGGGAGTCTCTTTTACTTAAAAGAAATTCTTGAATACATAAGAAATTCGAAGATGTAAATATTGAAGCTGTCAGCACAAAACCAATATTAGAAAATGAATCTTTGAATTCTGTTAAAGCACGATTCTTTGATTAACCAGTAATAATATGTCTTCGTATACCGTTCCATTATATATTTTTGATATAAATGTGTTGGTTAAAAAAACAACTTTATGATTTTATAAGTTTCGTTTCTTCACGTTTTTAAAATGTAAATTGAAATATCTCAAAGTCCTGATAACTATGATATCAATGATGGTGATGGAAGACAAAGAGCAAAAGAATATGGCGGTTCTTTAATAAATTACGATTTCAATCAAATGTAGAAAAAATTTTCCTTGGAAATCAAACATCATTTCAGCACTAAAACTCTTATTGAGTTGCAATTTGCATTTTCTCCAGTAACACTAAACAAGATTCTGACGATATTCGTACAATTTAAAATAATTATATGAGCCGCTCATTTGCCAAATCAATTAACTCCATAAAGTAAAAAAAATTTTAAATTTACATAAACATAATATAACGATATAAAAAATACATTCTATAAAATCGTAGCTTTAATGTAACAATACGTAATTTGTAGTTAGCAAAAAATGTAACACAAAATGACATCCTCACAAAGCCAGGCTGCAATTTTTAATCATTTTTAAATCATTTAATTTAAAATATATACTCTCCACCTCAAATTAGTAGTGTCTTGCCCCTGTACATCATACTTTTCCTTTAACAATGGAGTCGTGCCAGTCATTTATTAACTACTTTTGGAGGGGGGAAGTTTTGAATTGAAAAACGACTTCCGGTTTGCATCGGAAGTACATATATATATACCGTATTTTGACGAGTATAAGACGCACCCCTATTTTGAGACAAAAAATTTAGAAAAAACTTTTTTAATGGGATTGTCTAAAGATGCATTTTATTCGTTTTTTTTATTCAAGAATATGATGGATGGATGAATCGATACCTTTATTAAACCGAAATAATATCATTTCTTAATGTAAACTCAGAGGTCACGCGATGACAGTCGACAGAACATGGCGGAGATGACTCGCGTGTCGCTACTCCGATAATCTATGTACTGTACTCTAGCCATTCGGTCGAGGGACCATCTGCTTAACGGACCACTGCACAGGTTGGTCCCTAGAGTGGACCACTACTGTAGATAATTTCACTGTAAAAATGGTTACATGTCGAGTATAAGACGCACCATGATTTTGAGCCCCAAAAAGTAATAAAAATGTGCGACTTATACTCGTCAAAATACAGTAATTGGGCCTCCTGCCCCGAAGGTTTCCATATCTGGTATCTGATTTCATCCAGAGGTGGATCTAGGTTTTTCGGGGCCTAGGGATTATTGAAGTCCAATGGGACTGTAAATTATTTTTTACTATACGATAAGTGCTCATTGTTAATGAAAAAGTATTTAAAATTTATGATGATAATTCAATTTTGGGGGGCCCAGGGCTGAAGACCTATCAGTCCCTATATAGATCCGCCCTGATTTCATCTAACTTCATTCTCGAGATAAAGACAGACGGACAAAGTGGGCCATTTATAGGTCTACAATTTTTTCAAATTGCAGCCCAAAAATACAAAAATCACAAAAGAAATTTGGAGAATAATGATAGTAATCGCATAAGGTTTACGGTCGGTATCTTCATTAAATAATGAAAACTACTACGTTAGCAATAAAACAGACTCTATTGCTAACGGTACAGGGGCAAGACACTACTAATTTGAGATGAAGAGCATATATTTTAAATTAAATGATTTAAAAATACGATTAAAAATTTCAACCCGGTATTGTGACGATGTTTATAAATCAACAAGACTTATTTCTTGTGACATCGTCACAATAAATAAGTCTTGTTGATTTATAAACATTTCTATTTCTTGTTTCCAGAAGGCGACGACAGTTCAATCAGTTTCCACAAAGAAATGATACAAAAGCTTTTGAATATGAAATTTGAAAATAAAATAAATTCTAGAGAGGGGCAAAAAAATGATAGCAGCACCCGGTATTCCCAGGTCGTCTCCGTCCCAAGTACTGACCGGGCCCTACGCTGCTTGTTTTTTTTTTTTGAAAACAAACAATAATTTATTTACAAAAATAATTACATCGTACTATTCTTCGCGTAACTGGTGTTACGCTCACATCGGAGTATATCGTTTACATTTTATCTTTTTATGTTGACAACCAGTAATTACACAAGATTATATTTATTCCACGTTTTCTCGAATTGCGCGTCGGTTAGCTTCGTTTTCCACATTTTTGCGACATTTATTAACCTGTAATTTAGTTTGTACCTGATATTTAAATCCGTCAATTTTTTGTTATCAAAACGGGTCTCATTTCTTGCTGTCCACAGTACGAATCTTGTCTCGGCAAGTATTGTTTGGCATTGTTTACACCAGTCTGCTTTTTGTTCGAAAGTCGCTGTCTTCGGGGTTAGTTTTAGGGTTTTGCATTTTTCGCATTTTACAAGAAGCGTGTTTATGTAGTTCCACGCTTCTTTTGTTCTTCGGCATTCGTAGAAAAGGTGTTCTGTAGTTTCTGTTTCGTTGCATACTTTGCACAGTGAGTCGGGTTGAGATACTATGTGACGGTAGTGGAGGAAGTGTCCGGTGGCTAGGAGCTCGTGAGCTAATAGCCAGTGCATATCAGTATTTTTTGGAAGGGTTTTTATTTCCTTGATGAGCTTCCATTTTTTCTTGTGGTTTATATTTGGACGTTTTTTTACAATGTGTGGTTCTTCTTTTACTTTGTTTAATAAGGTGTGGTAGAGCGACTTGGTGTTACTTTTCTCCCAGTCAAGGTTTGTTTGCCCATTTACGAATTCTGTATATATTTTGGATGCTTCCTGATAGAAGGGTGATAATATCCAGCTTCTCGCTCTTAGATTTGAGTTTAAGGATTTGTTGCTATTTCGTAATTTCATTCCTATCCAGTATGTGGCTAATGGTGCCCACAGCTTATTGTCTCCCAGGATTAATTCTTTTATGTGGTTGAGAATTTGAGCTTTAATTTTTGTCTCCAGATGGGTCATGTTTATTCCTCCGTCTTCTGTTTTGTTAATCATTATATTTCTTTTTAATTTGTCTGGTTTGTTATTCCATATTAATGTTTTGAAGCCTAATGATTCTATTTTTTTAATTACGTCACGGGGAATTGAGATAAAGTTTGCGATAAATTGGATCTTGCTGCATATTTGCGTGTTATATATTAAGGCTTTCCCTCTGAGGTTGATGTTTCTACTGTTCACGTTGTTTACTATGTTTTTGCATTTTTCGATTATTGAGTCAAATTTTCTTTTTAATGTTTCTTCAGCCTCACCGAAAGGAATTCCCAAGATTTTTGCTTCGGTTTTCCATTCGATTTGGTTGTGCGGATAAATCGGTGTTTTTCGCCATCTGCCTAATTTGATTCCGACCGTCTTCCGGATGTTGACCTTTAACCCTGATATTGTTTCGAAGTGTTGTAGTAGTTGAGCTAGCCTTCTTATACTCTTTTCGGTAGTACAGAAGCAGGTTAAGTCGTCTGCATGCGCTATTACTTTTATTTGAGTTCTACTCCCGGGAACTCGCAGACCTTCTATATGTTTATCTTCTTTTATTGTTCTGATTAATGTGTCTATTGCAGTTACAAAGAGCAGCATCGACAGGGGGCACCCTTGTCTGACTGACCTCTTTATGTCTATCAAGTCACTGAAACATCCATCTAGTAGTACCGTGCTACTCATTTTTGCGTAGCAAGTCTCGATAATTCTAATTATTTTTTCTCCTAGATCTAATTTTTTTAGTACGTTCATCATAAACTGGTGATCTAATCTGTCGAATGCATGGTCCATGTCTATTGTTATGAGGCAACCAGGACTATTCTTTTGGTTGATGTAGTCTATTGTATTTCTTATAGCCCTACGCTGCTTGACTTCGGTGATCAGACGAGAACCGGTATTTTCAGCGTGGTGTGGCCGCTATCGAAAGCTCGGTTCTCTTATGCTGTCTTTTATACACATTTGCTTGTTAATGTTATACATCTTTCATTTCATGTGTCTTTCTGCAAACACGCTCACTGCTTACAAATCGCAATTCTCTCTAAATTGTGATAAACATAATTAACTTATCATTTCAATATTCGCGACATTATAACGCATACAACTCGTAACTTTTCCCATCTTTACATATTAATTTGAGCTAACTTGAGTGTTATTTCTTGATCCAGAAATACTGTAGTAGATTAACTTTCGCTTCTATGTCGTAACGCAGAAGAATTACAGGAGTCGTACTGGTGCATGTGAGGTGAGGTATTTCAGAAGTGTGTGGCAAAACGAAGAGATACTATGTGAGAAATGAACAAGTGCTAGAAGAACGTGGGGTGGTGAGTGGTACGAAAGATAAATAAATCGGCTCTATGACGGTTTGAATGAGAGAATGAAAGGAGAACTGTTGGAGAGTGCATACCGGTGTTTTGCATTCTATCTTTAAGGAGACAACAGTTAAGATTGCATCTTAATAGTCACTTATTTCTAACACGACTGATGGCTGCCAGATTATAAACAATCTAGTTAAACTCTGGCCAAAGGTTATACGTATAACACATGGGAAGCGTGATAGGAGAGGGCGAGAAAGTCTCGCTTGGAACGAGTAAACGAGAATCTGAAAGAAAGTAAAGAGTTGAATCAGAAAGAGAATGAGGGAAAGTGTGCTGATGTACATTTAATAATTAAATGCCAGTTTGATAAGACTAATAAATGGATATATATAAAAGAGAGCATAAGAGAACTGAGTTTTCGATAGCGGCCACACCACGCTGAAAATACCGGTTCTCGTCTGATCACCGAAGTCAAGCAGCGTAGGGCCCGGTCAGTACTTGGGACGGAGACGACCTGGGAATACCGGGTGCTGCTATCATTTTTTTTGCCCCCTCTAGAATTTGTTTTATTTTCAGATTTCATATTCAAAAGCTTTTGTATCATTTCTGTGTGGAAACTTATTGAACTTCTGGAAACAAGAAACAGAAATGTTTATAAATCAACAAGACTTATTGTGACATTTTCACAACGCTGGGTTGCAATTTTTAATCGTATTTTTAAATAATTTAATTTAAAATATAGCCTATGCGCTCCACTTCAAATTAGTAGTGGCTTGCCTCCTGTACAGTATGTCATGCTTTAACAATATAGTACCCAGGGCGGATCTACATAGGGACTTCTTTTTTTTTAACTCTTTCTGCCCCGTGGGCACTAAGAGGTCCTCTTTTTGCAAGCCCATTATGGGTTCGGCCAGGCCCACAATGGGGCTGCCGGGTGGTGAAGGGCGGGGCCCGACATATCCGAGCGGACCACCCCCCGAAAAATTCCTAAGGGTTTTGCGACCCATTCGGATTCGAGCCCGGGTCCCCCAGAGCGGTGGGCTGCCACCTTGACCGCTCGCCCATCCGGCCATCTACATAGGGACTAATAACCTTTGCACTTGGGGGCTCGGGGCTTAGGTCCCGAGCCCCCAAGTGTTAAGGGCCCACAAAATCTTAATTATCATCATAAATTTGTAATACTTTTTCATAAACAATGAGCACTTATCGATATAAAGTTTGTCATTCATCCCCATTTCATAAATAAATATATTTCAACTCTGATTTTGATGTTATTAAAAATGAATTTTAAACCCCCATTTTAAAGATTCTTAATCTAACAAAAAAAATGGGGCCTCATTGGACTTCAATAAGCACTAGACCCCGAAAAATCTAGATCCGACCCTGGTTGTGCTGGTCATGTATCTAACATCTTTTAGGGAAGAATTTTTGAATTAAAATAACAATTTCCGGTTGCACCGGAAGTTCTTATATAGTTAATCGGGGCTTCATATACCTAAGGTTTTCACTATATAACTGGATTGCTGTATAATAGATCTCTATGTAGACGTATTACATAGAGATCTAAGGTTTTCATATCTGGTCTCGGATTCCATCTAACTCCGTTCTAGACAATACAGAGGACGAACAGAATGGGAATTTATAGATATACAATTTTTTTCAAATTGCAGCCCCGAGGTCACGGATTGGGATGTTTAGAATGTCGATCAGAAAAATCCAGCTCTGACTCTGGTAGACACGACAAAATTTGGAAATAAATGTGGTATTCCTTTCAAAGCAAAATTGTCGCGTTGTAAGTAATGAAGACAAGGAAAAATTCTTTGCCATCAGAAAAGAAAATATCATGGCGTGAGATACGAGCGAAAGTTTCAAAGTTGGATCGACACTCGAGGACCAAGTCGAACGGAAGTGTCAAATTGATTAACCGATCAAATTAAGATTTTAGCGGACAGATCCTTTAAAAAGCCAGAAATTCAAGGAGAAAGAATGGTGGCTTCTCCCTGGCTCAGTCCTGTTTTCCCGTTGTCTCGGACTTCATTTTCGTTCCGTCGTATTATAAAGGTTTTTCGGTATTTTTAATATTAACTTTATCCAGTTTGATATTGCATTAATACGCGTAACCCACAACTCCGACGGCGACCGAGCAATCTTTCCGAAAAGCGAAATAAATCATAATCCTAAGAATTCGATTGATTTTATCGGATCGCCGAAAACCGACGAAAACGATATTTATCAAACGAAATTCATAAATATCTTTTTCGTCCATTTTTGTGCAATTTTCGGAAATCGTCGAGCTTCGAGACGTAGAATTTAAGAAGATCGTCTTTTACCTGTCTACGGTGGACATTCTGCACCACGTAAATGCAGAAGATAATTTATCTATCAAATTACGAACACAATAAAATGATTAAAGCAAAATTTTTTAAAAAATTATAAATTAATTAATTTAAAAAATAAAATTGATTAATTTTACGAAATTCCAACATTGTTGAAGCGTCTTAACGTTTGTTCGAAATTCGTCACACATGACGATTCGCAGTGAGTTTCTGTTTCTCGTTCTTCAATTGTGTGCTGTTTTTGCCCTTTGTGGAGTTTTTCTATAAAAAAAAAAAAAAGATTTTTGAGGTAAGTCTTAGTCCATGTTGACCCTAGATGTAAGAATTTATTTATTATTACCGGAAGAATCGTTTCCAGAAGACATCTCGGCCCATCGTTCGATGGTCGATTCGAATGTTTTAGATTTAATTAGGGAATTGCGGTGAGCATTTTACTTTTGTCGTCGACGCGATTTAAGCTTTTGTTTTCACTCGACTAATTGCAAATTTTCTTTTTTATAGAAAGATGATGTTGGAGTGGATCCGCAGGAGGTTCCGACGGAAGAAAGCGGTGGCGCCGGAGAGTGGGGATTCCACGGCCGGCTCCGTCGGCGCGAAACGAGTCCCTCGTCTCTTATAGCGCTCGAGCAAGAGGCGGCGGGTGACGACCTTTCCCAAGTGCGTGCGGCGTGACACTCTCCCAGAATCGGGATACTACCACGTTACATGCCACATTCTGGGTCCGTCGCACTTGTCCAAGGTCTTCTGGGGTCATTCGGCCACAGACCTTGCTGTGGAGGATGTAGAAAGTGACGGCTCGTCCGAGCTGACATTTCCTGGTTGGTCGAGTTCTGTCTCTTCGTTCGCAACGGGACGTCACTGCTCGTTGTCTTGCGGAAGTCTGAACTGGAGGAATCGGAGGAGAGAGCCACCAAAATCGAGAGACAGTGGTGTCTATGGTTGTTGCTGCAAACGGCTGCGGTTCCCTTGGCCTAATCAGTGATCCTCTTCGATTTTCCCCTTCTGCACCCGGATGCGACATTCTTACTGGATAAGACACTTTTCACCCGGACTCGACACTTTTTTTAAACGTGGCCTCTCTTAACCGGACGGACTTATCTCCCGAACGTGAGACTCGGTCGACAACGGATTTGACTCCCGATTGTGACCACCCGGCGTGACATTCGGCCGACCTTTCTTCCCAAACAGCTGTTAATTTAAGGATTGAGTTTCCGGTTAGGTTAGATTAGGCTAGATCAGGTCCTTCGCTTTTCTCATAACACTGTTCGGGAAAAAGACTGTCTGATAAAGGTAATAACGTTGACCTTAGATAATAAACGAACTTCTCGCTTTCTCACTGTCTTTGTATTTTGTAGGAACATTTGGGAGGGAGATTCTTCGCCCTCCCCAACTTTACTACGAAGAGGACAGAGGCCATTCATCATACAAGTAAATATTTCCCGAATATTCCTTTGAAGGTAAGAACTCTTTCGTTTTCTACACATCTTATTCTCGTATCGTAATTTACTGTTTTTCTTTTAGACATGCCGAAAGATGTTCTTGAATCACACACACGCACGGACACATCATCACTGTACACGAAGATGTACACCATTTAACCTTTACTCGAATTCTCGCACTCACACCTCAAGCGCCTTGTTCTGTGTAATTCGACACAATGAAACAACCCGAACACTCGCTTCCCACAAATCAAACCCCTGGGTCCTCCTGTCCCGGGAAGTGGAAACGCCAATTTTAAAGATTAAAAGACTTTAAATTGGCGGCCGAAGGGACTCTGGTAATCACACATCGATTAAATGGAATTTCATACATTAGCATCAATAATCGCTTTGTGCTGAATTTTTCTGTTAAATCTCTGGAAATTTAGTATGGTAAGAAATATACATATAATGAGGACGTTCTGTATTTAATAACAACAGATGAAATTTGATCCAATAACCTAGTGTCATATCAGGAGACAGAGTCCTGCCAAAAGACAATCCTGACGACTGATCCTGCCAAAGTTATTGACTAAGTATATAGGAATCAGTGTTGCCGATTTTCGGGGGTCGATTCATCTGTCCCCAAACACCTGTAGTAATTTCGAATATCTCGTGTCGTTCGAGGGAAAATTGTTTTCTTGGTTAGTATGCAAAATTTCAAGATTTTGTATAAATTGGTTGCCGAAATACAAGCAATTGAAAAGTGCAAAAATCTGCAAAAAAAGCTGTATTTACAGCTAATTTAGAGATTTCTTCTCATTTCTGTTCACCTGGCACTGCACACGCTCGTTGAGAAAATGCTACTGGGTCTAGAAAGCTCAAATTTTAAACTTAAGCCTTTCTCATTATCAGTGAGGTACTGGCGAAGTCTGTAGGTCAAAGTTTACGGGTATTTTCCACACAGTTAATTCATTTTAACGGCTTATTTTTATGCTTATAAGAATAAAATTGCGTAGAAACAAATTTTACTCAAAATTGGCATAAATTTGAACTTTTCTAATTTGTTATTGTTTGTTAGTTAAGTTATGGCAACGCAACACTTGGGCGATCTGCATGGGGGATGCCTTTCGGGAGGTCTTTTTAAGGGAAACTGCCCCCTATTTAGGCGTTATAGACGTGGAGACAACCCGGAAAACTCCACTTGGCCAGCCTGTCCGAGCGAGGCGCGAACTCCCAATGTTCAGGGTACGAAGACCGCTTGGCCACTGGTGGGCCTACTTTTCTAATTAAAACTTTTTATAACGATTTTACTAAACGGTGTTCCGTAACAGGGTGATAATTTAAAGTATATTTCGATATAAACGCAGATGACGTCATCGTTTCGTAACTGGAAAGTTTACTTAGGAAATTTTCGCAAACAAACGAAAGTGTCATCCAATTTCTCATTTTCAGAGGAAGAGCTTTCAAAAACATACCATCTTTAAAGATTTTCAGCGGAAACGTGTTTCATTTTACCTCTCCGTGATGTTTGCAAATTTTCTAGTTAGGTATTTGAACCCATAGGAAATTGCCTTCACCAATATTTTTACCAACTTGAGAATAGGGCTGAATGGCCGAGCGGTTAAGTTGGCTACCTACCGCTCTGGGGACTCGGGATCGAATCTGGATGGGTCGAAAAATCTCCAGAAATTTTTTGGGGGTGGTCCATCTGGATAGGTCGAGCCCCATCCCTCAACCACCTGGCCGTCCCATTGTGGGCCTGGCTGAACCCATAATGGGCTTGCTAATGGAGGCCTTCTTAGTGTCTACAGGGCAAAAAGTTTTAAAAAAACCCAACCTGAGATTTATGTGGAGGAAAGGAAAAAAATGTTCTTGGAGACAATGAGAAGAACATGTTGGATTTTCCAGGCTGGTGAGTCTTGGCTCCCATTGAAACCACATTTTAACAACTAAACATGATGTGGGAAAAATATGCATAGATTTGGGACAAGCAATACAGAATAAGGATTAGTTTTTCTAATCATTTTTCATTGTAGACCCCTGTAATCGGCTGCAGAATATTTGTTGGTTTGTGTGTCGTGCACCCTGAACTTCCCTCTGCACCAAGGAAAAGCTTTTCTCAGATCCTGTGAATAATAACAGTATAGTTTAAATTACACTGTTGAAGAACGTCATATTTCATAGAATTAAAAATAGGATTTTCTCCTATGCAAAGGGGACTTGGATATGTGACATCAAAACCAACAGATAGCCCACTACTGATTACCTATATTCCAGTGCAATTACATTTAGTTACTGCTCAGCAGATGCAAAATATAGCAAGTTGAAATGTTTTTTTACACCCTGCAAACAGAGATAGACTTAAACTTTTTTCATAGTTGCATTTATTCCTTTTGTTAAATTATAAATTCATATTAAAGTAAATTTAGTTTAAAATGTGTTAAGAAATATTACAATTACTGCTTTCCCAGCTATCATATATATGAGGGATAGTATGGCAATTGGTCAAAAGATGACCCATCAAAAATTTTAAATTTTTAGACTTGATAAAAAAATGCATTTATGTTTTTTTCTGTAGGCATGGATGTAAGTGTAGGGGGCATGATTTTATTCACCCATTTTGAAGCTTAACTCCTGTATCTTTTGTCAAAAATTTCTGAAATTTTGCAAGGAAGTTTATGTATTAGGGGATTAATACTATTAAATCTTGGTGGTTAAAGGTCAGGATGGAGAGATAGAAGGAGATCATGTGTCATACTTCAAGTAGGGTCGGAGTTAAGATTTTACTCATTATTAGCATTTAAAAGTTTTTATAAACTCATCTCTACCCTCAAAATTAAGCTTTTTGTGATTTATAATAGTTACATAAGAATTTTTAAAATAAAATATTACCGATGGCATCACATGTAATTTTGAATGTTGATACCTGAAACTTTTGCAACTTGCTAGATTTTTTTTTATATATTGCTGTGAATGTGTTTTCATTATGTTTAATAATACAGCATATTCAAAATATAAATCACAAAATTTTATATTATTCAACCCAGCTAAAAATATAGATGTAAGAAAGTCATTGATGACAATACACAACATATTGAATTACAAATATATTTAATTGATAATGATTGTAATACATATGCATACTTCACTACATATCTTTTACCTATAGTTCTCTTTTCATGGAATATTTATTAACATCATCAATCTAGTACAATGTACTTTAAGACAACTGACATTCTGTAATTTTCAATATATAAAACATTCAACAATCAGAACACTGTTGCTTAATTGGAAGCATCTTACTGATGTATCCATAGCACATAGTTTAATTAAAATCCTATAAAAAGGATTGTTAGTGATTCATATTTCAATTCCACATTTACATAATTATGGTGGAATTTTTTCCCCTTTATTACTATAAACTAGGCACTGAGGTTGTACAAGCGATGAAATTAAATAAATTATGTCTTCATAAATAATTATTCTTAAATTAAAATAAATAGTGCTATTTATTTTATTCACACAATACATTATTTTAATTTGCAATCAAAATGCTAATTAAAAAACTGTGAAGGCACTTAGATGACTAAAATTAATACAATATTTAAGCGTGAATGAACTAGATATAAATCTGAATCCAATGATATAAGTTTAATTATATTTTATTCCTCTTTTTTCAAAATTGAATGGGAAATTGTACTTTGTATACAAACTCTTATAAATTTACAATGTGAGGTATCAGTCAATGGAATGTTAAATATGGTCTAAAGGATCTTATTTGATTATAGTAAAATGTTTACATTTTTGCATTGTTTATACCCTGTTAAAATATTTCATATTTAAAGATTTTGACAGATGAAATAATTAATTTCATGAATTTTAACTTATTAAAATAGTAAGTAGACCTTTGACTATTATTTACAAAAAGAATATTTTTTTTTTAAAATATGATATTTACATATTTTGGACTTCATTTACTCTTAAAAGAAATTTTCATAAATAAATAATGCATAAGTAAAATTTCAAAAGGAAGCATTTAAAATTCAACAGACCTGTACAGTTTTGTTAAATGTTCCTTTAACGGATCATAGCCGATAGTGGAGGCATCATTAAACTCCAAGTTTAACTTGAAACTCAGAAAAATCTTTTCAAAGACCATAGCATTAATTAAAATAAAAGGAATTCACAATATTTACATAACAATAAAATAAATATTTATTTAATATGTTTTTATTGCAATGTAAATACTGCAGTATGAATTCTTTTTATTTTTTACATTGGCAAATCTTCTATTTGACTAGAAATCACAAGGTAGCCAAAATACGTGTAAAGGACATAACAGCAGCTAAAATGGTTTGTCCAACGCCCCATACAAGAGCATAAAATGGCATCATTTGGAACCTGGAAGCCCTGTACACTCCAGCAATAGCTGCACCTAGAAAAACAATATTACACTGAAAAAATATATTAAGTTTGAATATTAGTTGTTCACAAAATTATAGAAATCATATTAATCAAAATTAGATAAAATAATCTTATTTGAAATACAATAGTAAGATTTTCTTTGTTATAAAAGATATATTTTTAATCTGCATAATTTTACAAAAACAATAAGATACTTTTGTAAAGTTAATTTTATTGTATGCTTAAATTTTGTTTTTATGCAATATTTCTTTGTTGTTTCTTTTGTTATAAAATAGGCCATTTACTTATTATTAAAAATTATGTACTTATTTAAAAGGAAAGGTCTCATCTGTAATTTTCAAGAAATAAATAAATACTGACTCTTGTAAATTACTTAGACCAACCTAACAAAATCTTTGTTTCTGTAAATCAAAACAACCTGATCAGTGTTTTTTTTAAATTCAACTTTTTATACTTATGAGGTGGTAGCATGATAATGGTGTCACTAATTTTGATCAAACTTGGTGAGTATATAGTGCACCCTCAATGTCCTTTGCCTCATACTTTTCCAAAATCCATTTTGAAGTTCCATTATTTCATTGATTGAAGTCTTCTTCATTAATAGCTGCATTTTTATCACAAACCAGAATAACACCTTAACACAAATTTCCAGCAAAAAATAAACAAATTTTTACTGTTCACAAGTTTTCAGCCACAATTTTATTGGTCTTCATCAGGAAACAAATACGAAAAAACCAATCTACAGATTGAATACAGCAAAAAAGAAAGAACAGAACATGCATCAACACAGATTGCATTCCAGTACCACAGGCCTGGAAATATTATTTAGATGCGCAAAACATTTAATTTTGTCAAAATTTAATTGTTGTAATAACTTCATGTTTAACTATACATTGCAAAAATTGCTCATTTTATTTACAATGTAAACTGTATATCACAGCCTTTGTTCGAACATGTTTAATTTTTTTTTTAAATTAAGAACATGGTGTATTTGATCTATAGAACAGTTTTTTTGTATTTGTTTCCTGATGAGGGCCGATAAAATTGTGGCCAAAAACTTTTGAACAGTAAAAATTTGTTTATTTTTTGCTAGAAATTTGTGTTTAGGTGTTATTCTGTTCAAGTATGGTTCCAGTTTACATGTGCAGTTGCTGTTTTTTGTTTATCACAAACCACTTTTTCAACAATGCTGTGCCTTTTTATAAATTTATCCAGCTAATCAGGAAATCTGTATATCCAAAGTAATTCTGCAAATTTTAAGCTTTTTGCTTAGTGGTCTTAATAACAGTACATTTTTATCTCAAATTAAATGTATCCACTTTAAAACTATAGGTAACTCCCGTATAACACGGGAGTTACGTTCCAGAAAATTGCAGTGTTATGCGAATCCGTGTTATACAAAACAAAGAACTAGTGTGAAAAGGGGGGTTAGGTTCCAAAAATTAAAAAACATGCTGTTAAATCCTTATTTAAATCGGATTTATTATTCATTTTTTTCATAGGTAAAATACTTATTTATTATTAAAGTAAATATTTTACCAGAGGATTATTCATTTTATATGATGATCTCAGCATGAGCATAATCAACTGGTAACAGTTTGTGGGTGTGTTTGTTAATAGCAGTCACTCTGCAACAAGAGTGCGCTGCCGTTTGTAGGCATTTAGGAACAACGGTGAAAGAAAGATGGCAGCGCCTGCACTATTGATAGTATCGTGTGGAGGAATCTATAATTCTAAAATGAGCTTTTAGAGGCAAAAGAAGGGTCCCAATTGTAAAATTTAACCATTAAATGGATTATTTGTTGAAAGAGCATTCAAAGTAGCCA